ATTTGTGCCTTATTTAGCTGCACAAAGAAGATTTCTTCCATGGTTTTGGACCTAATAATTCCAGTGCCCCTTCTGGCTGTCTCACAAAGAAGATTTCTTCCATGGTTTTGGACCTAATAATTCCAGTGCCCCTTCTGGCTGTCTCACTGCTATCTCTGAGAGATACTTGAGTTTCAGAGGTGTCTGAATAAAATAGCGGTGCCTGTTCTTCTAGGGGTTTGTGGAGATGCCAGGACTTGAAGTGCAAATTAGGGGGAAATAAACCCTAGTAGGCTATCAAAAAGTGAATCTGTGCTCATGTATGAATGATACTTTCTTGCTTTAGCTTTAATTATTGTATGGGGAGATGTGCTTATGGCTGAACACCAGYGGATTGAGGTGTGCCACTTCCCCCAAAAGTTACTGCCCTTCATGAGTGTCAGGGGTAATTGCCCCAGTCCATTTCGATGCAGAGTAAAACGGGTGCTTTGAGTGAATCTGTGAATGTGGAAGGAGAGATGGAGATCTCAGGCTCTGAAGGTTTCAGCTGGAGGATGGTCATGCTCAAATTCCTTGAGCCTCACARCTAATGTTTGTCCAACTCTGCCCTGTGTGTCTAAGGGATGGTCTTTTGMTGGATGCAGCTTGCTCTTCTTGGATATTCTCTTCTTCCTAGGAGATGTGAGCTCCTCTGAGCTTAAATTCTGGTTGATGGTTTTTTCTTTCTGTTTTTCTAATACTGGTGTATCTGCAGTGGGGAGTTTGGTGCTAAATTCTTACAACATTGTTACAAAAAGCAAAAGTTGTAAACAAACCTTGATTCTGCTCTCCCTCCAATTTCAACAGGCAGGTGAGGTTAAGGTTTCACTGCTACAGTCCCTGCAGTCCTCAAACCAGWCAAAACCTGATCTTCCAATTTGTGGTGTTCTGTTGGACATTTTTAAAAACCTGGTAGCTATTTTTTTATCCCCCCCCTTCACCCCTGATATTTTTTTTCTTCTGATGGCTCTGTCCATGGCTAGCTGGATGGCTCTGTAATGATAGGCCATCTGGACCCATCCCTCCTGTGCAGAGCAGATTTGTTGAGGGTATTTCAGAAGACTGGGGCCGTTAGTAGTATAGAGAGGCAGAATGAAGCTGATTTTTTTTTCCTCTCTACTTTTTAAATGAAAACCCTTTACCCTCTACTTATTGGCCCAAAAGAAAGTGAGGCTTCCAGGCTTCCAGATGTGGGGCTGCTGTCAGCAGCTGGATGGCAGAAACCTGGGAAGCAAAGGGTTGGTTTTCGTTTTGCTGGATGGGTGTGTAGCCAGAGACTGCAGGGGAAAAGGTGTCCAAAAAGAAAGCAGCACATCCATCAGGCCRGACCCTGGGCATTGTTTGGGGAGGGGGTGAGCACAGCTGGCCCTCATGCTGGCTCTGGCAGATGCAGGCGACTGACGAGGCGCAGCGTTCCTCTTTTTAAATCTCTGCTGCAGCATCACCTGGCAATGGACTCAGGAGGGGTTCAGCTGCTGCCAGCAGGTCAAAAGTTCAGTGGGACAGAAGCGGGTGCTTTGGGATGTGTTCAGCTTCATGCCRTGTTTTACATGGATCTGAGGATGGCAGAGAGCACTTCTGCCTTCTGGGGTGGGTTGGTTTTTTTTTTTTTTTTTTTCCGTCCTCCCCTTTCAAATGGCTGCCGTGTCAGCCATCTGCTGTAGAAAACTTTCGTGCCACTTCAGAAGTGGTCTTTTGGTTGTGTTGGCTTGGTTGTCATGGCATATGTCTTAGTGGTTTGTAAAATCACAGAATGGRTAAAGTTGCAAGGGACCACACTGGGTCATCTGATCCAACCTCCCCGCATCAAACTAATCTGTGTCAGTGAGTTTGTCCTTGCCTACTCTAACAGCACTCCAACAGGAGAAGGTGTGGCTGTGTGGGGCATGTGATTTTTTTTTTTTTTTTGGTAGTCATTGCCTTGATGGACAGAAAGGATGCTTTCCACAGTCAAGTTAGTGCAAGTGATGATAGGGAGTGATTTATTTCCCTCTTCAAGACTGGACTGTAATGTGGGACACCTCTTGTGTGAAAGTGTCTCCTGGCCATGTGCCCTCCCCTCTGCAACTGAAATATCCTCCTGGCAGCTGTAGGGCTTGTTTGTATCGAAAATGTTAGGAGAATATTTAACGTTTTCAACCATATTTCAGCACAACTTGAAAACGCTGGACAGGAGCCAGTGTGGCGTGGCCACCCAGCTCTTTGGCATGTGCTCTCAGGAGCTGTGGACTCAAACATTTAGGAACTTCTGCCTGGGTAGGTCGAGGGGAGGTGACTTTCCAGAACGTGCTTGAAAATAGTCAAAACATTGTTGTTAACTTAGTTTATTTGGAAAAGGGGGAAAAGCCACATTACACAGGGAAAACATAAATCTTTTCCTGTGGTTTTTAAAAGCGCCTTTGGGCAAATTGCCTCTGCTGTTAACTTCACTACAGCTTTAAGATGCTTTTCCTTTCCTCTTGCCCCTTCCTAGCACTTCAAGCTCTGGCTCTGCCTTTAGGTACATTCCTCCCACCCACAGGCAGGGCACTGCTGCTCTTGCCTGCCTTTTTCCTTCTCTAGTGTGKTGTCTCTGTGCTGGTTCTTGAACAGGCTCTTTCTGTCAGGAATATTATGTGGCTGTTAGAAACCAGCGGCCACTACTGCTCCCCTGGGTCCCCCAGGAGGAGGAAGAGTGTGGAGAGAGGGAGAGCTGGAGAAGGAGAGAGCAGAGAACAGAGTTTCTTCTGTCTGCGCAAACCAGATATAGCTTTAAAATAAAAAAAAAAATGAATTTAAAAAAAAAAAAAACCAAACAAAAAATGTGTTAAACAGTGTGTTAGAAATATAATACTTTGAAAAAAAAAATTTCCTCGTGAGGACAGGATGGCCAAATATGCTTTG